GGCGACAGAGAGAGAAGAGCTAGGGAAAAGGAAGATGGAAGGAAAATACGGAGGAGGAGAGAGAGAGAGAGAGAGAGTCCCTGTGAGTCATTCTGTGGCGATAGTACCTTTTCCGTATGATCATTCACCGTTACCGCCTTTAATGTCCCCGCGATTCGAAACATCCTTTTCAAGACGGGACGTGATTTTAATGAATAAACCGCTATCTTGGACACGGATCGATAAAAATTAGTCGAATGGCATGGATCGGTGAATCGTGTCAGAGGAAAAACGCGGGCCTTGTTAAGAGAGAAATATAAGAGAACGAGGTCCTGGCATTTCGTTCTTCTTGGAAAGGAAGAAGGAGTAGTAGTAGTAGTAGTAGTAGTAGTAGTAGTATCATCCGATATTTCGCGAAATTTCTGAACAGCGGCAATCGATCCTGACACGAGGTGAACTCACGCAAGTGCATCGTTGATTAAATTTACAAGACCGTGAGGTTGTACAGCCATAAGTAATATAATCTGATCTTGTAAAGAGGCCAGGGGGGAGGGGGAGTTGACTACCCTAGCTGGATTCAGAAACACGGTTGATACCGTATAGTAGATCTTGATAAGGCGTGTACTCTCCTCTCCAAATTAGAAAAAAATCCTTTCCAATCCGTCTTGCGAAAAAAAAAAATGAATCTTGAAATTTTGAAACGAAAATTTCGATTTTAACAACGTTTCATAGGCATCAAATTTATATTCTCTTTATGAACGGAGAAACGAAATCGTGTTGCGAGATGCCGAACCGAGATCCTTATAAATTCGTGCACGGATCATCTTTGCGGCAATCTTTTCTTTGGAATATTCCGACTAAATCTTTTCTACGTCTTTTTTAAGCTATACGAGGAAACGCGAGTTTCGTTTACGAGCGGCCATACACCATTTATGACGGATCATAACTTTATATCGAACTCTTTCGCGCCAAGTTTAACAAAGTGTCCATTTGATAAACAGGGGAGGAGGTCCATCCACTTTCTATAATTGACCGGTAGCAATTAAACGCGTCCATCGTCACGTAGAATATTAATCTGGAAACGGTACACTAATATAGCGAACAAATAGCAATTCCATTACACGAACAAAGCTCTAACGTCATCGGTTAAAACCACGCGGCGCACATTTCTCATCAGTCACGCAAGATTAAGTTTGCGTGGAAGTTGCTGCACCTACGTAACAGAAAAGCCGAGCATCGTTTCTTCTGCTGGAGATTATCTCAAATAGCATAACACTATTCCATAAACGATCAAAATTAATAATAAATACGAAGAATGGAAGAAATTTGAAGAATATTTGCTACGCGACAAAATATTCGCAAATGTATATACCCCTTCTTAGTTAGAATGTCTTATCCAACGTTGTATTCTTTTTATTTTTTAAGATTCTTTTAAATATCGAAACATGTTTGTGTTTCGTACGAAGCAAGATTAGAAAGCTTTTAGAGAAATTTAGAATATGATAATTAAAATATTTTAATTAAAGAAGAGTATAGTGATGAACTCGAAACGACATAGAGAAATTGTATTATAAAAATATTTAAGAATTATTTTCTCGTTTAAAACCTTAGATTTCGAACAACCTACATAACAACATTCTCTACAACGAAATAAATTCTCATCTATATACACGTAAATATCAAATTTCTCGGATTGAATAGATAACGGAACGCACAAATCTTTTTCACGACAAAAAATTCCAATCGATCAATTTTCCCTCGTTCATTTTCTTTCCACCCAATTTTCTCACGCTGTATAAAATTCCATAAATTTAGCATTAAAAATATCCAAAAAGGAAGCAAGGAAGGAAGAACCAGAAGAAATCGTGAAAAAAAACCGTCACCTTCTCTCCTCTTATTTACTTTATTTAAACTTCCGCTCGTTGGGACTTCCGGGACCGCTCGAAACGGAGTGCACGCGCGGCAAACAAACTGGATCGGTTTACACAGAGCGAGAGAGGAGAGAGGAGCGCCGCGCGTCGTTTTCACGTGAATCATGCGGGCCGCGATCGGAGCGTGTTGCGCAAGCAGCCTCCTCATCGCGAAATGCGGAGGCGTTGCATTAAAAGCGTGCCGCGGCTTGGCGCGGAAAACAAAAACAAGGAGAGGAGTCACCGCGTGGACACGTCATCGAGGCGCGGCACACGCGAAACCAGGACAAACCGCGTGCCTCTTCGAGCCGTGATCCCATCTGGCCCGATTTCTTACACCATCCTGGACATTCTTGGGTTCTTAACGAGAACACCAGCGTCGCGAAACTGTTGATTCACGCGAGGTGTGTCCGCGACGAGACCGATTCTCGCCATTTCGCTTTCGCGTGCATCTCTCCGATTTTGAATTGGAATAATACGATGAATGAAATTTGGCAACAAATTTTACAAGAGTGCGTATATGAAGAGTGAATGAAGAGCGACACGACAGACGTTATTATGCGATGTTATGCAATTTCTTGCGGTTTCAAAGCCTCCATATTTAAATCCTTTTTTCTCAAAAAAAAGTCGAAGAGAACTATTTGAAATTTTGAAAATTAAAATATACAGTTTCGATATACAGAGAAATTTGAACGCTATTGGCTTTTGATGTATAGTTTTTTAAGGAATTTATTTTTCTCAATTTTTTAGACGCACAGAATCGACCGAGCTTCGTCACGAAGCTATTCTCTTTGATTTCTGCTTGAAATCGCGAAAAATTGTATTGTACATATTATAGGAATATTAAAAATATCTCTTCAAAAGTAAATGAAAATTAACGAAGCGAATAGATTACTAGTACATAGAAGTTATCTGGATCTGTCGGGGAATAAATAGTTCACCTAATAAGAGTACGTGTACTAAGAATTTACAGATTAATTCACTAATGAGTTTACACTACATTTAGATAAGTAAGATTCACTCGACAGAGCTCACGAAATATTCTAATTGAGAAACGATGTACAGATTAAAGTGGCATTATTAAAAATTAAATTAACACGAATCCAACTTAATTGGATATCATTTCTCATTTAGCCTTTTGCGCCGATTGACCAGTTTTTGGAATTAAGAAAATACAAAATTAGTTAATTTACAGTCGTTACCTTAATTGGAAAGATTTAAAAAATCTAGTTGGCCATGTTTCCCCGTTCTTGGAATCGAAATCAATGGAATCGACCAGTTGGAACTTAATCAATTCCAATTAACCACCGTCTTTCTGCTCTTGAAATCAAGAAAATGCAAAATCAAGAAATTGTGCCAAGGATGGAAAGAAACGGTTATCAAGGCAGTATGCAAGTAATGCCGGTTAAAGAAAATTTCGATTTGAAATCAAGGGGGATCTTATCAATTTTAAATCACTGGATTCTCGAGTTGTCGTGTAAATCAACGTGTGCACGTGTGTTAAAAATAAGAGGAACGGAATATTTATTACGCAAATACCGGTGAAATCAATTATTAACACGAAAGAGAAACAAGCGGTGCCGTGCGGCATGCATAAACTGATGGAAACGCTAGTCTCCGCGGTTTCAACCTCTTTAGTCATGCCCCATGTGTTGCATGTAATACTGTTATACATCAGCATGGTGTCTAAAGAACAGTTTTACGTCGCTGCATGACACACCGTTTCACAAAAACTATCCCGCAGCGAGCGCGTTTGCATTAAACGGGCACGCAACATTTTCGAAATTCCACGCTTACACCATGCGCGTACATAACTCGTAACAACTTTCTCTCGATGAATTTCTTTGATTAATATACAATCATCCGCGAATTTTTCTCTTTCGTGAAAAAAGGGAACATCTACTTGCTTGGATTTGTTATTGTTCGAAATTTCGAATCGTATTCTCGAGAAAGCGATGCGTGAATATTGAAAATTTCGAAAATCCGAATCGTGTTTCGAGACGAACTTCGTTAAATATTCGCTTAGTTATTTGTAAATATATTTCGAGTTCTCCAATCCTGATATTTATTGCCTCGAATAAAATGTGTGAAATGTGTGAAAACTAAAAAATATCAGAAATCCAATACTTAGAAAAAGTCGAGAGAGCCGGATTGAATGATTCTCGAAAGTATCTAAAAATTCGAGAATTATGTCGAGATTCTCGAGAATTATAAAATAATAAAAATATCACGAAATTATTCAAATATCGATAATTCTTTTTATTGAAATTTAGTATTTTCTTTAAAAATCCTGAAATCCACGAGATTTCTACAGGAAAATACCGACTTTCACAGAAATCCCAAAAATTCTCAAATCTCGAGATTCAAATCTTGAGATCCAATCCGACCCGACATGAATTCTCGCATATACGAATTAACTATTCAACACAATGATCCAGAAGCAATTCGGAAAATAAACGTTTGAGTACATCTCATTTTATCGTAATATTTTTTAATCCCTCCGTCATTAAAAAATTTTACTCCAACTCGTATGTTTAAAGCGATTAAACAATTTCACCTTCCATTTACAGAGATTTCGTTTAATTTGACTCGATTCGTTTGTCCATCTTTCCATGTACATACATACCATGTATTTACGTAATAAACAAAGTGTAAACGCAACAATATTTTGTCCCAGGCGGAGGATTGACGGGTATTTAGGAACTGGTTTGGAATACACACGTTGGGGGAACAAGTAGCAATGCGAACGTGGGCGTACGGTTATTGTGACGTTTGGGAAACATGCAACGTGACTACAAAGTACTACACAATGCGCCATCCGGCAAAAACGATATAACGACACGGCACACTGTGCGTACGCATATTTCCACGTGATTCACGCGACGTTTTTGTCGTAGTATTTTATTCGAAACCATACCGCGAGATCTTGTCGAGCCCCTCTCTTTCCTCCACTCCTCCTCCCCTTCCTCCCCGTTTCCTACTTTTTCTTTTTTCTTTTTTTCCGTACTCCGTTCCGTTTATCCATATTCCGTTCCACGTTTTGTTTAATCCGCCATTTAATTAATACGCTCGTTTGGCCCCTCGATCGATCATGTTTATCGTCCCAGAAAGAATCAATTTCTTGCGGAACGGTTTTACGGATACTCTCCCAGTATAATACTTGACAGAGAGAATCGAGTGAATATTAAAACGAAACTTGAAAGACCAAACATGAGTGTACTCGATTGGGAATATTCGATACGTGAATAAGTGAAAAAATCTGAATTATATTTATAACAAACATGAATTCATCGAGTTCCCTCCCACAATCTTCGTGTATTTTTTTTATTAAGAAATTCGCCTGAAAATATTGATTTCAATGAAATATACAATATGGTGGATTATACGTGCAGCAATTTTTTCTTTTATGAAAAATTTCTTCAAAAGCGTGAAATCAAATTTTCATTTTTTTAAACACAACTTTGTCTGAGATTATGTTTCATAACAGGCTAAAAAATTAAACGACGAAATATTGAAACTTGAATTTTATAAAATTATTCGAAAAGTTCCAAAGGAACTATTTTCTTTTGAAAATTAATCATAAATTTAAACTTTAAAGAATATAATTCTTCTTCTTATAATCCCGTAAAATTTTAACTTGTACATATCGTGACACAAAAAACTGAAACTTACTGTTCTATATACAAGTAGAACAGTATTATTATTACTGTTATTAATGATACGAT